GAGAGAGAGAGAGAGAGAGAGAGAGAGAGAGAGAGAGAGAGAGAGAGAGAGAGAGAGAGAGAGAGATCTTCTTCTTCTTCTTCTTCTTCTTCTTCCTGCGCACCCTGCAGCGGCACGCGTCGCGCGAGCACGTGGGACAGCGGCCCCGCGCTGCCCAGCGGCCGCTGCACGGCCGTCGCCATCGCCGCCCGAGTCGTTTTCCAGCGCGCGGCCATTTTAGTGCCTGGCCGCGGCCGGGCAAGGCCGAACACGGCCGAACGCGGCCGGGCACGGCCGAACACGGCCGATGGAGGCCGATCATGATCGAGGGCGGCCGGGCAGGGCTGCCCGCCTCCAAGGCGCGTTGGTGGGCGGCCGGCCGGGGTGCTAGTGGACCGTGGGCTTGCTCGACATCGAGGGGACGAGGCGGCAGGAGCGGCGGGGACGTCAGGGTGCAGCGACATCCAGGGGACGCTACATCGACGGTGCGGCACGGTCAGACGACATCCAAGATCAAGGCCACGACTTGTTGGATCCTGGTGGGGTGGCAATGACGAGGGGTACGGGGGGGTCTGGGGGTGCCAAGTTCAACCCGCTGTCCGAGAACGAGATGGCGAAGTTGAGGCGAGGGAACATTGTATGGAACTTTGTCACCGCGGGCCAGTACGTCAGGGACCAGTCCAAGATGCACGGGGACCGAAAGTTGCGTTGCAACTTATGCGGCCACCTGTTTTAGGGGGGGAGGTCGAAGGCCGCGCGTCATTTCACGCAGTCGAAGTTCTACAAGGCTGGGGGGATGAAAGTTCTCGCGGAACTCTGGAACGGCACGGACTACACATTTGTGCCGTCCACTGCTCAGCGGGTGCAGAGGTGGATGGCAGACGAGGGCATACGGGACACAAGAGCGCCCGCGGGTGGCCAGAGACAGCGGATGGACGACGTAGAGAGGGACGACATTTAGGACGCCCTCGATGAGGAGGAGGGCCGCGAGGGTGGGGCCAGGGAGGGGGCGGTTGCAGACGAGGCACACGAGGCAGTCGGAGATTCTAACCTGCCAGGGGAGGAGGTGGTGATGATGTCGAGAGGCGTCGGTCGAGCGGGTCCTGCTACTAGGGCGCCGCGACCAGAGGTGGAGCGGGCAAGGAGGGAGAAGAGGACAATGGGGTAGGCTGGCGTCGAGGTGCTAGACACGGGCAGGGAGAAGAGGGTTCGGCAGACCACGATTGACGAGATGTACGCCAGGGAGAAGTTGGTCGAGTTCACAGACGCGTGGCTTCAGTGGATCTACGTGAAGAAGTTGCCATTCAACACCTTCCGTGGTCCGGAGTTCTAGAGGGTGCGGCAGGCAGCAGAGAGAGTGCCTCACTCTATCCAGTTCTGGTTTCCCTCCTACAGGGTTACAGCGGGCGCCGGTATCCCTTTGCAGAGGGCGAAGGTGGCGACGATGGTGAGCGAGGTGCGCGCCACTTTTCGGCACAGCGGTGCCACTATCCTTTCCGACGGGAGGAAGTCGCGCAGCGGCAAGCCGCTCGTGAACTTCCTCGCAGGGGGCGCCAATGGTGGCCTGCTGTATGCCACCGTTGCACATGACGGGTCGGTCCGAGACACAGCGGACGTCGTGTACCGTAGGTGGCGGGCCATCATCTTGTCCTTTCCTGCAAAGGACGTGATTGGCTTCTGCACAGACTCCGCCAGTAACTATACAGCGGCAGCGCGCAGGTTCGCCACAGACCTCGAGCCTGACATCAGGAGAATCACGTGGCTCCCCTGCTCCACCCATGTCTTCAACTTGAAGTTGTCAGATATCGGGACACGAGTGGTGTGGGTCAAGGAGACCATCATCCGCGCTTGAGCGCTTGTGCGATTTATTAAATCGCACGGCGCTGCTCACACCCTGTTTAGGAAGGTGAGCCCTCGCGTTCAGCTCGTTGAGCCCGTTGAGACACAGTTTGCGTCGGTTTTCCTGATGCTGACGTGTCTCAAAGGCCGACGAGACGCGTTGGAAAGCATGTTGCACGGGGATGCTTGGGCACGCATCCCGTGGGATCGCGCCCACGTATCTCAAGCGCAGTGGGTGCAGCAGCAGATCCGGGACGGGGAGTTTTGGCAGCGTGTCCAGTACACCATCCTAGTCATGTCGCCCGTCTACCAGCTTTTGCGCAGGATGGATAGAGTTGGGATGATGATGTCCGTCGTTTACAAGTGGAGTCAGCATCTGCTGCAGTTGATGAGGAGGGTGGACGTGCTGGAGGACATGATCGAGCCGTGCGTGCGTGAGGTTGCCATCCGCAACCTCCACATGCTAGAGCCCGTACATGCCGCGGCCCACCTCATCAACCCACGTCGACGGTCCCTCACGTATTACCATTCGCTGGAGACGACCACCAATGACCACCGTGTGGTCGAGGAGTGCGACAGATTTCTCCAGGCGCAGACCGGCGGCAATCCGGTCGGCTTATTGTACAGGAGCGTGAGGGACCAGATGAGGGTATTCCACTCGAGGCGAGGGGATTGGGGAGATCGTGACCTCTCCGATGCCGAGGCGGCCGATTGCAGGGGGGACAGCGAGACCGAGCGATGTGCAGCGTGGTGGTTTGAGCATGGACGTGCCCACCCGGAGTTGCGCACCATCGCCATCTGTGTCATGCACTTGTGGTTATCTGCCTCTCCAGCGGAGAGGAACTGGGCGGAGCACGAGCGCGTCAGCACGGCGAGGCGCTGCAAGCTTGGGTTCGCCAAGCTTGCACAGCTGGTTGAGATTGCCACCAATCTCAAACTGGCCTCGTGCGCACGGCAGAGTGGTGACTACGTGTTGCCATGGGTTATGGGGACCGCTCGGGGGGGGGACGATGACAGAGGAGGAGAATGAGGAGGGAGATGTGGAGCCCGAGGTGTGGGGAGCGCGACCTGATGGCAGTGTTCTCGAGTAGGAGATCCAATGACAGATTGTCACTTTCCGTGACAGCCGACCGTCCAGAGCCCGTTCGGTTCGGGACGTGTTCGGCAGCAGAGCGGCGGAGCTACGACCGTGGCCTGAGGTTGGGGATGATGTGGACGCTGCTGCGGCAGATGACGACATCGACTACGACTGGACTTATGATGATGACACGCCGGTGAGTCGCGACCCAACGGCTGAGCGAGTGTACTTCACTTACGGTTGGGGTCGTGACGACATGGATTCATTCACATCAGTTACCACTAGTGATGTACCGTCGACTGCGCAAGCAAGTGGCAGCAGCAGAGCCAGCGGTGGTCATGGAGGACGTTCGCATGCGGAGGTTCGTGTGGACAACTCGAGGGAGCAGCAGCCACGGGGAGGTCTTCGGTAGACAGATAGGCGTTGGGAGGTTAGGAGCGACCGCGAGGCCGAGGGGGAGGCCGAGGATGAGGAGGTGCCCCTTCGCGATCGTCGCTTCTCTCCCTCCCATCATCCGATCTCTACAAAGCCCGAGGCACTTAGGCGTTCGGAGAGGTTGGCGTCGGCAGCAGGCAGAGACCGGACACATGACGGCGAGGATCGTGGGGGGGAGAGGACTCCTTCCGACGCCTGTATCCGCCCCCGCTCACCGTCGGTGCTCCGCATACAGGACTTCGACGTCGTAGGGCTTGGCGGGAGCTTGGGAGATTTCAGCGTCGAGGGACGTCGACGTGCCTCACCGCAGGAGGTGCGCACAGACGCGGACGTTGAGCGGGGCCCTGTTGAGACTTAGGAGGAAGGGATGCCCGTTTGGACCGAGAGGGAGGAGGAGCGGCTGAGGAGTTTGCCACAGTGGGAGGGTCGGTTCGCGTATCTCGACGATCAGCGTTGGTAAAGGGACTTGGAGACAGGAGGGGGGGGGAGCCGTGACGTCGACGACTCGGGTGTTCCTAAGGAGGAGGTTCAGGGGGAGTTCGATTATGAGGGGCAGAATGCCGCCGCAGGTGGTGGGTCAGGTGGTGGACGACGCGGCGATGAGGAGACCGCGGGTGTCCCTGAGGGGCAGGATGTTGTCATGGGCGGTGGGTCCCCTAGTGGGGGCCGTGGCGACAGCGAGACCGCGGGTGATGAGGGACAGGGTGCCGCAAAGTGTGGCAGAGGAGAGGGGAGACCCGGTGGAGATGGGGATACCACGGGTGTCGGTGGAGACGATGGACCAGACGGCGACGATGACGACGACCACGGTCCCGAGGACGATCCATATAGGCTCGCCTTGGTGTTGAGGGACCCCATAGTGCCTCCCTTGCGCCCTGAGGACACAGCGCACACTTTCTTCGACATCGACGCTTTGGCGCACGCGTTGACGGATGACCGTTTCGCACACGTGAGCCGCAAAAGTGGCAAGCAGCGGGCCCCTGGGAGGGTATATTCACCGCCGCCGTTCACAGTGCAGAACCCTCACTGGTTGGGTTCGTCGCTCAGCGACGTGAGAGGGAGGGACTCCGGTGTGGGCGACGTGGGGTCCGACAGACGCAGTGACGGCGGTAGAGATATTGCAGGATCGATGCCTCCACCGCCCGCACGGACTCCGGAGGCCAGGGTCGACACCAGGGACGGGACCGCGGCACCCGGAGTTGCGCAAGGTGGCGGTTCCCCGCCGACAGTCCGAGGTGGTGTGGGTGGCGGATGGTCAGCTGTTCGTCGGGTCGGGGACCGGTTGCGGGCAGATTACGACGTCGGGAGGGGCGTCTTCACGGGATGTACTGCTGCTCAGACGTAGGCTGCGGAGGGTGGGTCCGGACGTTCGAGCCTGCAGATGGCAGGCCACATGCTTGGTTTGTCACGAGCGGGGACGAGGAGATCATTGGTCCTCGAGGCCGCAGGGACATCCACAGACAGGCTATGAGGAGAGCAGTTCACATTGGGCGAGGAGGGGTTGTTGATGCGTCCCGGGACGAGACGACAACATGGCCTCTAGGAGGTTGAGGCTCGACTCGCTGCAGGTGTCGCCGCTGGGCAGGCAGCATTGGACGCGATTCAGAGGGAGAGAGAGGGGGATTGCTGCACAAGCGGAGGAGGACGAGGACGCAGACACTGAGTCCGAGTCGAGCGAGACTGCGGCCCGCAGACACAGGGCACAGGTGGCCGCGGCGGCCGCTGCAGCACATGCGGCATACTGAGCGGGGCACGGGGCACAGGTGCCAGAGGGAGATGAGGGCGCCGGGGAGGACCCCATGGCCGCCCGTCCTCCGGGAGAGGCCGCGCACGCTCTGGTGGGAGATGACGACGTCCGTGGTGTTTTTTTTTTTTCATTAGTTTTTTTTTTTTTTTTCGCATGGCTGTATAGCCTGGACGCTCTGTCGGCAGGGTTGTTGCATATTTATGTCGATGTTGTTCCATGGAGACGACGACAGTGTGTGGACATTAGGGTTTTCTTTTTTTTTTTTGCTACTCGGTTGTATAGTAGAGACGACGCCCGTCGACGGGTCCAGTTGTTTTTTGCTACTCTGTGGTGTAGCAGAGACGATGGGTCTAGTTTTTTTTTGTTACTCGGTGGTACAGTAGAGACTACGAGTCCAGTTTTTGGCTTCAGCCTTGTACATATGCATTTCCATTGAAATGCTTTGTCATATATTTGCTCTTGTTCTTGTTCCTCCGCCAACATTGGTTTTGCATCTGAGTCGCTATTGTTTGGTGATTGTTTTCAGCTCTATTGTCGTGATTGTTGCAAATTATGTGCTTCTTCGATGCCACGCACCTGCATGTGCTGTTAATTTCAGATGCGACATAGGGATGATGTGCTAATGAATGTGTTCTTACATAAATGATGTGCTAATGAATGTCCATCAGTCTCATGAGTGAACACACACTATGACAAACTTGCCTAATATCATTGTTTGAAACTTGTGGTTCGCCGTACCGTGATTGATTTTTAATGTGTTTTGACATTGGTATGCCAAACAGGGTCTGACTTATGATTGTCATGAATGTGTTGTTTTAAAATATGCCACGAACTGTCATCGCTCTCATGAATGAAACCGACGCCTACCTTTCAGTGCGTGAGGCCCTGGTCCGCCTAGGGTCTGCCATCTGCAGCCCCGTCTAGCTTCGACCCGGCCTGGCCGCACGGCCCGGCCCAATCAGGCCCTCATCCAACCCACGTTGGGCCGCCCCGCAGGGGTCAAATATTTTTTTTATTATATTTTTCCACTGTTCCAGACCCTCCTCCCTGCGATCGCGCATCGATGAACCTGCACACGGGGCACGCTGGATTTTTCGCGGCCCACCCTTCCAGAGTCTTGTGCAGGACCCCCCCGTTTTTTTTTTTTTTTTGACGCCCTGTCACTTTGAGGGGGTGCCCCCCCCCCCCCCCCCCCCCCCCCCCCTCCCCGCTTCGAAAACCGCCCCCCAGATCGGCCGACACCGAGGCCGAAAAAACTCGCCCGGGTCGGCCTCGGCCGGGGGGTGTCCCGGCCTAGGCCGAAACCGGCCGCGGCCAGCATGCAACATAGTCTGCAACGTGGTAGCCCATCACCCGATCATACCCGAGTAATCCTTGGATTTCTTCAATGCCAACAACGGTTCGTGATCGGTCACCAACGTGAACTTCCGGCCATATAAGTATGCACGGAAGTGATTGATCCCCCACAAGGCCTCTTAGCATTCCCTCGTCGGGGCAGAGTAGTTGCGCTTACGGGCAGACACCGATTTGGATGCGTATTCCACCACGTGTTCGAGGCCGTCGGGTCTCACCTGGTCCAAGATCGCTGAGATCGCCTCTGACTGCCAATCGGTGATGAGAACAAAAGGCTTTTCCAGGTCCGGTCTTATAAGAACCGGAGTCGAAATCAAGGCCGCCTTGAGTTCTCAGAAAGCCTGATCGCACCGTGGGGTCCAGATCAACGACTGATTTTTTTCCAGCAAGTTCATGAGTGGTCTTGCGATCGTCGCAAACCCCTTGATAAACCTTCAATAGTGCGATGCCAATCCCAAAAAGGCACGTATCTGTATCACGGACGTTGGTACAGGCGTGTCTCTCACGACTGCTACCTTCTGAGGCTCCGGCTGCAACCCTTGGTCCATAACCTCATGGCCGAGGAAGGAGATCTCGTTGAGAAAAAAACTAACACTTTTTCAACAGCCACCTTGAATCCAGCGTCCCTTAGTGCGTACAAGATCCACTCGATGTGCTGCACGTGTCGTTCGTAGGAACTCGAATACACAAGGATATCATCCATATAGACAATCACACAATAATTGATTATGCTCTGTGCCAACCGTGTTTTTCGCACGAAGTTCCGGAAAGCCATGTTTATCGCGCGCTGAAACGTGGATGGGGCGTTGCAAATCCCCATTGGGCATCGAATCCATTGCCAAGTCCATTCGAAAAGAATGAAAGCCGTTTTCGGAAGATCCTCTTTTCGAACAAGAAGATGGTGAAATCCATGGCAAACATCAAACTTATTGAAAAATCGAGCACTACCAATAGCATCCAACATTGGACCAACAACTCAGCGATCCGGGGAAAAGGATACACATCCTTAATCATGACGTCATTCAACTTTCGATAATCGATGCATATACGAATTCTTCCCGCCTTCTTTGGCACAATCACCACAAGAAACGACCACGGTCCGATGGCGGGTTCGATCCACCCATTAGCTTCAAACTCCTTTATCCTCTAGAATGCAGCCGATCTTTGGGCCGGTGGATACCGATAGGGAGTGAAGCTAATCGGTGGATGATCCCCCATAAGGATCGCATGCTCAATGACCTTGGATAATCCAATATCGTTATCATGCACACTCAGCACCTCAGCATACCCATGCAAGATATCAATCAAGGATCTTTCGATCTCTTGGGGGACATAACTGGGTATTGTGATCACGGGGCGATCAAAGATGTCAAGTGGCGGATCAATCCAATCTGTCCCCCGAGATCGTCTGTCGTCCGCGCTGGAGAATATGAAGCTACTGGTCCGGACCAAAAAGACAGTGGCAATCATTTGTGATTCGGCAGGACTAATCATTTCAGTTTCCTTAATTTCGGCATCGGTTTCGGAGTACGTAGTGCTTTCTACTACTTCCAATCCTGTTAACTCGGCCATTTCTTGCATAAGATCTGGAACATCATCGATCGGGGCTTCAGCTTCTTGCTTAATTAGGGCGATCATAGCACCTTGCGTGAGCAACAATCTGGGTGGAGAGACGGAAAGATCCCGGTACTGATTCATCTGCCGATATCTAGCTCGGAGTGAAAGTGCGCCCTCGTATAAGGTGTGAGGGGGTTACAAGAAATCATCCACATCTGAAATCTGCAAGATCAGTTCCCCCGGAAATGACGTGGCGGGAATCCGTGTTTCTGTTGGTGCGGGAAGAGATGCCGATAGGGTATGGCTAGGTTCGCTGCTTCCTGAGCTCAAATCAAATGTGTTCGTGTTGTTGCTGGGATCATTTGAAATTCTTTTTTAGTTTCGTGACCGAACATTTCAACTAATTGTTCCCATTTTCTTTCGCTAGGCTTGTAGTTCATCTCTTCCTCATAATCGCATTCGTCGTACTCGTCATCATCGGTAAGGTGCTGCTCCTCATCATTGTTTATGGGAGAATATTCCTGGCTCAGGGCCTGAATCATTCCTATCTGAACAATGCTAGGATTCTTTCTCGGCGATCGAGCAGAAACCCATAACGAAAGCGTTTGAGACTTTCCTCCAGTGTGTGTGGGAACAAGCTGTTTGGAGTCGAAGTGTATTCTCACATCTACAACCCTCGCTCAAGACAATCCCAAGAGTACCGAATAAGAGTGCACATCGATGACTAGCTCGTTAACCAGAACATGTAGTCGCCCTACCTTGACAGTTGCATTCTCAATGATCCCTACTATGTTCATGGCTTTCTCATCGACCGAGATGTAGTTGTCCTTCCCACGTAGCGGAAGGATCGAGTTTAGCCGGCCCATTTTTCTGACAGTGTCTAGGGATATGGCTACGACCGATGATCCGATATCGATAAGAGCATTGAATGGTTTGCCCCTGATTTCGCAATCACACTCGACATTTTTACATAGAACCGACTAAACACGCACGAAGAGATCTTTTACCGCGTAAGAGATAGCAACGACCCGCGCCGTTTCAGGTGTGTCAGGGCCAATCGCAAGGGGAGAGGTTGCCTCACCCTCTTCATCCTTCTTCTTCTTTAGCATTCGCTGAATGCGTTGATACGTGAAGCGTTTTTTATTCTTTTGACATTGGTGCAGAAGTTTATCATTTGTTGCCTCTTATATGGTTAGCAAGTGTCCTACTGGGACAGGAACTCGGATATCCAACTCTTTGAGTGCTTGTAGGACATCGATTTCTCCCATTCGAAACTGCGGTCCGGCTTCAGATCCTCGCGCAACCCATTCAAGCTCATCTTTGTCAGGTCGGATGACTCTCATCAGTCCTACCAGATGAAGATACTTTGGAGGATCAACGACATCGGTTCCTTCGGAAGATGATCCCGAAGTGGACGCGATGGGGTCGGTCGAAGACGGCTGTTCGGTAGAGCAAGAGGGGGATTCTCTATCCTTTGTGGCTTCCAACAATGCGGTCACCCGACCTTGATTCAAGGCCACAGGTGCGGCGACCGATGGGGGTTGGTTACGCTTTGGCTGGGGGCATTCACGTGCAAAGTGTCCAGGTTGTTTACAGTTGTAACATTCAATCCTCCTTACTGGATTGGCCCCATGAGGGGGAGCAGGGGGCGCTGGTCTAGATACAGGAGGAGCGGTCAGCAGAGGGTACGAAGCAGGAACGGGGTCATGAGCTATTTACTTTCGTCATGATCTGTTCCAAACAGTCCATCTGAGAAGCCTGCATCTGAGTCACATTATTCATCCACTCAGACTGATTAGTTATAGCGGTATGAATCATCTTAGCCAGATGCATGTTAGTAATAGGCACTGATGCAGCGTCCTGGGGCATTACAGTATTCACAGGTGTCATCTTTGGAGAGAGAGGAGGCTTCGAAGGAGGCAGGGGATGATAGGGGAAGAATAGCTTAGCGGCCACATCTTACATCGTGTCCGAGATGTCTTCATCCCCCTGACCGATATACTTGCACGTATCCAACAGATCCAGTTCAAGTGCTTTAGCTATGATAACAGGTAGCTGGTTCGTCTTTAGAGGAACTTTTTTCTGCAGCTTCACTTTCAACACTGGATTGCGGAGATGATCTATGAACAAATCTCGAGCCACGTTTTCTTCCTGTCCTGATTTGTCTAATGCAGTTTTAAACCGATCCACAAAGTCGGGTAGCAACTCTCCGGGTTCCTGCGGTCGTGTTTTTAGTACGAACGCTGACTCCATCGAACCTCGCTAGGAACGCCCTCTTGAACGTGTCCCAATCTACCCATCTATGCCTCCTAAACCAATTGCGAGCAGTGTTTCGAAGTAGCAGGGTAATGACGCGAGGAAGATCCTCGGCACCATACCCTTGAGCTTGCATGGCTTCGAGCCATGCCTCGGGACGAGTGTAATTGGGATAGAACGAGAAGGTAGCGGGGATGCTTACCGTCACCCGAGGAGGTGCTCCATTAGCATCGGCCATGGGCATTCCTGGTCGAGCTTCGGCGGACCTCTGTTGAGTGACGGGAGGACAAAGACGGTTAGGTTGTTTAACTGATCTTCCTCTCGCCAGCTCGTCTTACTATTGTTCGAACCGACACGTGTCGGCTCCGATACCAACCTCACGCCCTGGGCCGTTTTTCGTTTAGAGTTTAAAATTGCGGAAGGGGGCCCCGAAAAGACAGCAAGATGGGGTGTGCCAAGGATTTTTGGAAAATTGAGTGCAGGGACACGGACGTAACCGAAATCCC